TTACAAACTACTATACATGCAATATATCCCATATATATATATATATATATATATATATATATATATATATATATATATATATATATCATTGTGTATTTGGGCAGCTTAATTCCTCTTTTATGCAAGTTCCACTAACAAGGTACAACGGTTAAGTATTTTATTTAATTTTTCTTGTCTAATTTTCTCCTTCTTTTCTGGACATAAATTATGTAGAAACTGTCCGAGGGTTCTCTCTGTCTGAGCACTTTCGGCTATACTTTTAGCCACTACCAAGGATGATTTTATTTTTTACTTTTAACTGAATGTATGGATTGTTTTGTGTATGCATCTAGGCTTATAGTCATGTTTTGATTTACAAACACGGTCAGCGCATTGTGGCTGTGTTCATAGTTGATATTACTGAATGTTGTATTTTTTTAATTTTTATTAATAATGCTTCCATTATTTTTAACATTTTTTACATGTAGATGATGCTATTATATTTGTATTAACAACGAGTATGTTGCAAACAGATTTTGGTAGGTATCCATGTGTATTTAAATGAGAGCTAATTGAGCTATGGTTACAGAGATGCAACGTGAGTCTTCTTTATAGACATGTTGTAGTATCATACTTATTATAAAACCCAGGTTGTGTGTGTGTGTGTGTGTTCGTTTATATATTGGATCGGATTTCCTAACATTTTTCAACCGATTTCAAAAAAAATTCAGAGGACTACGTAAAATTACCTTGCGGTCGTTCTGACGGCGCCAAAAATTGGAAAAACACAATTGTTTTTGCACGAAATCAATTTGAAAACACGATTAAGAGACATCACTGTCACCAGAATGAAAGGGGGACAACTCATATCGAGTTATACTTATTATAAAACCCAGGTTGTTTGTGTGTGTGTGTGTGTGTGTGTGTTCGTTTATATATGGGGTCAAATTTCCACATTTTTCAACCGATTTCAACAAAACTTCACTTTTTTTTTTGACAGGTAGTGTTTTCTTATTGTCTTTTACACTTTTTTTCTTTTTTTTACATTTAGAATGATTTAAAATTCCATTTACAAGACAATTGTTTATAATAAAATTCTATTAAATCGGTATACTCATAACGATTGAAAACAATGTTTTTGTTTTGAGTTTGGTTTGACCAATTAAAAAAAAAAACCCAAAAACTAATTAAGACATGCGTGTCCGTCAACCTTAAACAATAATCTTTGTCAATTTTATTTTTCAGTTTTTATGATGGTCGATACTTGATCTATCTCTTACTGTTACATCCCCGGGCAACGCCGGGCTCTACTGCTAGTATCCAATATAATTATTTATGAATTTGAATTGACCAGGAACAGTTTTGTAAGGGACTATTAATTCATAAAATAATATTGGTTCTCTGTAATTTGAATCTTGCAAGTGATTTATTATTGTTGATTATGAGGTTAGACATTTTAGATTTTTATAGTAGATAATTTAATTTTTTTGTTTTTGTCGATTGGATATTATATTTCTATTTGATATAATACAGCATATATATTATTTTGTTTTAATGTACTCAATACTAAAACTTTTCGAAATTATTTTGTTTTAATTTAGTCGATATTAAAACTTTTAGATATTATTTTTATTGTAATCAATACTAGGATTATGCTTAGAAATTATTTTCATTTGATGTTATCTATACTTTCAAGACCCTTAGAATTTATCTTTAATTGTAATCAATACTTGCAAGGAATAATTCTGGTTTTATGTAATGGAGACTTGCAAGACATAATTTATTTTCCCTTTACCTAACTTACAAGCCTTTAGAAATCTATCTATCTATCTATCTATCTATCTATCTATCTATCACGGTCTTTTCATATCTATCCATCTATCGCAGTCTTTTCATTTCTATCTATCTATCTATCTATCTATCTATCTATCTATCTATCTATCTATCACGGTCTTTTCATATCTATCCTTCTATCGCAATCTTTTCATATCATCTATCTATCTATCTATCTATCTATCTATCTATCTATCTATCTATCTATCTCAGTTTTTTCATATCTATCTATCGCAGTTTTTTCATATCTATCTGTATATCTATCTATCCATCTATCAGTCTTTTCATATCTATCCATCTAACGCATTCTTTTCATATCTATCTATCTATCTATCTATCTATCTATCTATCTATCTATCTATCTATGAAAAGTTTGGAGTAGTTATGTGATGCCTAGGTGGATTAGAAAACTTATTATTTTTTTTTTTTATCCTAAGCTCAATCGCTGGCCAATGGCACTTATACGGAAATCAAAACTGTCTTATCTGTTAAGTATGACGAAAAATGAATTTGTACGGAAAAGGTAAGGGCATTTAATCGTAAATTCCTTTAATCTAACATTTAGTTTCCACTGTCTTTTCAGCAGTAAATCTCTTAGTTTGTGTACAGAAACGTTAAAAAGAGCACTGCTCACAAAGCGCAGTGGCAGAAATCTGTACTGCATTCAGTTCATACATATAGCTTAACTATATATACGAGGGTCCACTTAAAGTTTCTCTGCTTGACCAATTTCCTTATAGTTCAATGACTAAACATCAGAATCCTGACTGTGGGAAGTGGGTGGGGATATTATTTCCATTATATATATATATATATATATATATATATATATATATATATATATATATATAGAGAGAGAGAGAGAGAGAGAGAGAGAGAGAGAGTAGGCACGGTTGATTAATGGATAGCGGCTTGGATTGCGGAATCGCAGAGCCGAGTTCGAATTCAGTCGAATCCATTACATTCACTTACGTGCTAATACCCTTAGGAAAGGTATGAATCCCTCCCTCCAGCTATGGGTAAAATAGCAGGACAGACTGGGTTCTATAGCCTTGGATGGCAACTGGTCTAGGAGAAGGACAACTCTGAATTCAAAACCTGCGGAGGGTCGTTTGGGAACCTTGCATGGCATTCAGTGCACCAGGTCTCTGTATTCGTCCCTTCAAAAGTGTGTGGATGGTCCTGCACGAGGCCTTCACCACTATAATCAAATCTCATGTGCCGGTGTCGGGCTGTCGGTTTCCTGAAACTGATCTGCTTTGACCCTCATACGTCGAATCTCGACGGGAGAGTCGATTATATATGTATGTATATATGTGTGTGCGTATGTGTTTAAAAATTCCAGATGGAATATCTCTGTAAAAAGACAATATGAATAAAAACAAAAGGAAAACTTATCTTAGCCGACGCGTTTCGTCCTCTGAGAGACTTGTGCAAGAATTTTATTTTCTAATAAGTATGCATATACAAGCGCAAAAATTTTATTGGTTTTTCAAAAGGTGAAAAGACAGGAAAGCTAAGGAAGATGGCAAGTGACACAATTCAATGTCTAATAACTGATAGTGAGTAAATGATGTTTTTAAATTGTTTTTGGAGTGCAAATTAGTAATTAAATCATTTTAATTTGGGATTAATTTATGTGTTATATTTTTTTAAATAACATGAGCTTACGGATTTAAATGTTTTCTTTTTATTTTTCTAACATTTTTATAATCATGTATGTTGGCTTGGGAAAGTGGTAATTCCTTCAGGAATGCTTTTGTCTTTATATATATATATATATATATATATATATATATATATATATATATATATATATATATATCTGTGTGTGTATGTGTGTATGTGTAGGCTAAATGTCTGGGGTTAAACTGGATTTAATAATTGTAAATTTCATATTGCCTTTAGTTTAAATAGATTCTACTATGATAGGATATTGAGACTATTTAATCCATTAGTGCATAGCATCTATCTTATTTTTGTGAGGGGGGTTACCTAAAATTTTAAATCTGCCAGCCCTAAGATTACCATTAGCCAGCAAAGTAGGTTAGACAAAAAGAGCTAACATTTTAATGAAAAATCATGCAATAATAATTAATTTCATTATTATTATTATTATTATTATTATTATTATTATTATTATTATTTTATTATTATTAATAATAATATTATTAATAATATTATTATTGAATATATGATAAAAAGCTTTCAGAAAGAGAACTTCCTTCTGGACTGCAGTGAGCTGGTAAATTAGTTTTGGAAAAGGTACGAAACCTTAAATTTTTAGGTGATTCTTCGAAAAGCAGAGGATGACCCACACTTTTGGCCTATATATTATATATATTTGGCATATAAGCATTTTCGGTTATAATCAATATCTGATGAAAGTCAACGAATATACTGAAACGTTATGATAAAAACAGCAAAAATGAAGATGCTTAAAGTGAATAATTCATACAATAATAATTTTTGTTAGTTTTTGTTTTGTTTTCTGCTGATTCAGTTGTGACTACGTGAACAGTTCAAAGCCAATTCTAACCTTTTTTGTCTTGAACTTATAAAATCACGACAGTTGATTCAATGATATGTCCGTAAATTTGTCAATAACTGGCAGATATATGACATTTGACCGGGATTAAATTTCTACGTGTTTATTGTAATTATCAGTCCAACATTCAGAGTACCATAAATAATTGCTTTAATAAAACATCTGTCTAGCATTCACTGAATTAAAACGCCCCCCCCCACGATGAAGAATGTTTAGCAAGCCAATTTCTGTTACAATAAAGTGCCATCCCTACTGAATACGCTCACCACTGAGTGCAATATATGTGTGGCCTTCTGCCGGAAACTTTAATATTGAACATGTTGCCGAATATCAGGATGTATATAATTCATGATGCCCACATGTTTGTTCTACAGCTGCAGCCTTGTGCCAGACTGATCTCGGTTTAGCTGTTATGTGTTTTATTATTCAGAAATGGTTGGTAAGTTAATTTCACTGTGCACTTCGGCGTGGTGTAATGGTTAGTAAGCATGTCCCTCTAGATCAGTTACGACTGAATAGTGAGTTCGATCCTCACTAGGTGCTCCATATTTTCGGTCTTGTGCCACATCTAAGCTGCGCTTAGAAAATCAACATTACTACTTTGCGATGAGTGCCATAAACCAGTCTTAGGGATTAAAGGTTGAAATACCAAATCTCGTAGGATCACCGAAGGTAAGCAACGTCGAGCTTGGTCAGTACCTAGATGGGTAATCATTTGGGAATACCCGGTGTTGTAAGCGTGGATGTGCGGGTACTGTAATGGATAATCTCTCGGAATTGGAAATCAGAGGGTTGAGTTCCAAATCTAGTCGGGTTTGTTATATTCAAATACGCACAAATTCCTTTTGGAAAGGTATACATCCGCCTCTTTTTCTCTCATCTATGGGGTAATTAGTAGTAAATCATTATTATCTCCCCCGCCAAATTCTTACAATCTAAAAAAATATTTTATAGCTTTATACTAAAGGTTGGTAAACCGTAAAAAACAAATCAATCAGTTTCGTCAAGTAAACCAGTCGAAGCTGGCAAGTTTAGAGCAGGCTTAAATTTGGAACATGTTCATGGGGAAGTGTTAGGCGAGCTAGTCTTACAAAGCACTACCATTGTAGGGTGTTCAAAAAAACTAGATACTCCATACCGGTCTTAGAGGCACCTCTAGGCGGTGTAATGGTTAGCAAGCTTGTCTCGCTAGAACAATTACGACTGAGTAGTGAGTTCGATCCTCACTACTTTGGGCCTTGTGCCACATCTAAGCTACGCTTGGAAAATCACTACTCTATACCTGTCTTCGGTGTTAAATAAACCAAATGTTTGATAAGCTGTAAAAAAAAAAAAAATCAATGAATCCACGCCTGTCCAAAAAGCACCACGCCCGAAGGAAAGGAGGAATAACAAGCTAGTATTGTAATCCATTGCAACTACAGTGAGTTCGATCCTCACTGGCTGATCCATACTTATAGAATTAAGTTATATTCAGCTTGGCATTTGAATGTTATAGTTGTGGAAAATTGAATCAACTTGCCGAGTTCACATTCAAACCGAGTCTCGTGCAATGTTTTTTTTGATCCACGCCATCTTATCAACATTTGCCCTTTTCTATCTATAGTTATATTCGTTACAAATTAAATTAAGTGCAACTAGCTATTAAAGGATGACAAATTTTAGACATGATTCTGGTGTCTTTTTTTTCCGTCCAAATCCGTGAATCTGTTTTTCCTCATGCTAAGTCTCAAAATAACACTATATAAAATACACAATTATTTTTTTTTATCTATACTGTTGAATGTGTTAAATTATACAACTGTTTAACAAGAAAAATTTACAGTTGATGTTACAAACCGCTGAAAATCATTTTTGATTTATTTTAGACGGAATAATCTATTATGACATGTCTCTAATTTGTATTTAGATCCATTGTATTTATTTTCAATTCATCTACTTGAATTGTTCACCTAGATATTTAGCTGCCCCCCACACACACACACACACGTGGGGTCGCATGTGGCACAAGGCCGAGTTTTACGTGGTCACCCGAACCCGTAGGCCCGGCTAAAAATATAGCCTTCGACTCGCCTAGGCGAGTTCGAGAGCTGTCATAACCTCCCCGAACGAAACCTTGCCCTTCGGCAAAGCGTCGTCCGGGTTCCTCTCTGCTAACGCAGAGAGTTCGACAGACGGCGGTGGCTGTAACTTTAATTGAATTGTTCACCTATATTGCATATAACCAATTATTTCACATAATTAGGTTTTAACAATGTACATTTTATATGAATACAATCTTATGAAAATTGGATTGTAGTAGAGTGGGGTCCCATATCATAGATTCAGAAGGGGCTGTATCATATATTGGGGGTCTGTATCCTAGATTAGAAGGGTCCAGAAAACCCTTGCACCGGTCCTGTGTGCATGCGGGCATGTGAAATATTTTCAGTTTATTGAGATTTTTGTGTCGATGTTTACGATAAAATCTATTAATATTATTGTTATTGTTATAGCGAACTATGCTATTATTGCTTAGTTTTGAAAGGAACAATTTCATTTGGCTATATATTATGTAGTATGGAAAGTCGTTGCTAACTAACGATTGTAACTAGTTATAATTATATACATATAGAGAGAGAATCCAAAGAAGAATCTGAAATATTAGTTCTGACCTGGCATCTCGACTTCAATCACTTTCCCACCGCCGCCCTAATAAATCTTCTCTATTCTTTTTCTATAAATGATAATTGTTCTGATGAACTCTCATCTATCGTACCTAGATTTTATGAATTTAAGCCCAGTACTAGATTGGTGGCAAGATCTCAACATTTTACAGTTGAAATGATTATATGTAACCGCAAGTTATTTTCTTGCGCTTCTCTCTTGTGGAACTCTCTCCCGGCTTCTTAGTCAAATTTGATGTTTAGAAAATTAAATGCAATGCCAATCGTTGTCATCTGTCCTCTTAAATTCTGTACCTTTATGGTTCTGTAATAAAGTCTCTTTTGATATTCTTTCACACTCAGTAACCACTTGTGTTTCCCTGACTTTATTAGGAGTAAATTATATGTAACACACACACAGATATATATATATATATATTTAAAGATATTTTTGTAGGTACAAAATTTAATGATCGAAATAAAAGTATAAAATTTAATATTACAAGACATATTAAAACAATATTAAATAATAAAAGAAAAACTCAACAACAAAGGATAACAACCGGTTTTAATTTTGAATCTCCCGTGGAAGCCTGACGAGAGGGAGCGAAACCGGTTGCTTCCCGCCTTTGTTGTTGAGTTTTTCTTTTATTATTTAATATTGTTTTAAATATGTAATATTAATTTTATTTTTATTATATATATATATATATATATATATATATATATATATATATATATATATATATATATATATATATATATATATATATATATATATATATATACATACATACTGTGTCTGTGTTCGAAAAGACATGTTGGTTTTTTGTATCAATAGGCAAAGACGGATATAAATACTCATGTTTTAATGTGTCATCAGTATATGTATATCTTATACACGAGTGTTTCGAATTGACGAATTGGTTGGAATAAAAAAGGTATTGCGATTTTTAGATGGCTGGATATTTTTAAAAAGATTTATATGATTTTTTAAACAATTTCCATAATGAAACGCTTCCTTATAGACATAGCCACAGTTTTTTTTTTTTAACTCTTTTCTTAGCAAAGCTTAAGGGCAACTAGAAGTTAAAGTGTTAATGTTGCGTCAACGTTCAAAGTATGAAAAGCCAGCTTGTGCAGAAATCGACATTTAAAATACTGTTTTTTTACATGGCCTAGAACTTTGACGTTTTGTACGTTTTATTTTTTTTACCTTGAATGTGATCAGTTATTTGACTTAATACATTTTCCATATTGAAAAATATGCTGCCGTTCTTTCAGCTGTAGTGTGCGTGGGTGTAAAAGAGTGCGTATTCACACTTGAGGTGCTTTTCGATATGAGTCGTGTTTAAAAACATGATTTATATTTTCATAGGTAGACAAATATACTTTTTTTTAATTTTTTACTCATTTCATCCCAGACAAGATGATAATGCCACTAAAGGATTCATACTACATTTACCATTAACAGAAAATTATCTATAAATATTTATTCTCGATTTTTGCGTATCTGTTTCAATTACTATCTATCTATCTATCTATCTATCTATCTATCTATCTATCTATCTATCTATCTATCTATCTATCTATCTATCTATTACTTTTTGAGTCTGATCTATCCATCCATCCATCTATCTATCCATCTGTATCAGTATATCATACATTGTTAATCTATCTATCTATCTATCTATCTATCTATCTATCTATCTATCTATCTATCTATCTATCTATCTATCTAACTTGCCAGCTGCGAACATCTTCTACTTAAGTATATAAATATACATTATCTCATCTTTGAGAATGCAAATATTTTATTTTATTTTACAATACGTATATATACACACATGTATTAATAATATTGATGTATCATAATATATAGATGAATATATATCTATATGCGTATATATAGTATAGATTAATTCTTATATGTGTGTGGGTGTGTGTGTGAACAAGCACTATTAAATCTAAGGTCAACACCGAGTGGCCACAGTCTGTTTTATGCATGTGGACAGTATTTCGTTCAAGCACGGATTAGAAAGACATCACACGGTGTTGACATCAGTGTTGACAATGCTTATATTTACACACGCTCTATCCTGTATATTGAGCACTACCTTATGAATATAGCATGCCTATATATATATATATATATATATATATATATATGTGTGTGTGTGTGTGTGTGTGTGTGTATTTATTTATATGTAAACAACTGATAGTTTTTTGTTTCAATCCGATTATATTTCTGATTGCTATAAACGTTAGTTTATTGGATACACATGTTTGTGTTGATATCGTGTCTATTTATAAACTGTAAACGGTTTAGATCATGGAAAGTTTCATAAATAATATATAACTCTCGGTCGGAATGCTTCTTCTATTCCTGCTTAAATAATGCTGAAAATATTTATCTTTTCCAGCATGAACTTAATTTAGAAGTTATTATTAATAACGTTTATGGAACATTAAAATGACAATTTCACATTAAAAGTCCCCTACGTGACATACTGATACACCGTCGTATATATATATATATATATATATATATATATATATATATGAACTATGAACACAGTTGTCTCTCGGTCTCTGTCTCTCTCCCTCTGTATGTACATATATATATATATATATATATATATATATATATATATATATATATATATATAATATATTATATATATATATATATATATATATATATATATATATATATATACAGGGAGAAAAGAAATTTTAGTACACCGTGAATTTTTTATTTAATATAGATTTTATAAAAAATTTTATAATCCGTATATTATTTTTATATCATGGCATAATGCTGCAATATGCAAAAAAAAAAAAAAATCAGAAAAATTTGTCATATTAATGAAATTATATGAAATTTAGGAAAATGGAGGCGAAAAAAGTATTCGTACAAAATTATGATACCTATTTAATAGTTTGTAGTATATCCCTTACTCAATTCAACAACAGCCTCTTTTTGTAGATTTTAATCAATAATTGGGTTTCTGTTGGTATTTTACTCCATTCTTCTTTGCATATTCTCAGGATGTTCAGGATGTTTTTCGGAGCTCTTTTATTAACTTGAAT